TGTATGAATAAATCCAGTGGGGACAGACCCAGAGCCACCTCCAGTGCGGCAGTTGGCGTGGTGCGCATACAGCCAGTGACCGCGGAGCATGGGAGTCGCTGGAATTGCTGCAATTTGTTTATGACGGTGCTTAGCTCTGTTCTCTGCCACCAGACAATAGCACTGTAAGTGATTATTGGTCTTATGACTGTTCTGTAAAGCCATAGAGTAATCTTGGGTGATAGTCCCCAGCTTTTGCCGAGTAGCCGTTTGCATTAACAGAAGATAATGCAGGCTTTGTTCAGTTTTTCATCGAGGTGCATATTCCACACGAGTTTACTGTCCAGTATTACTCCTAAGTATTTGATCTCTTTGGTAAGAGCAAGTTGCGTTCCAAATAGCTTGGGAAGTCTGAGGTTTCCTAGACTGCGTTTGTTTGTGAACATGATCATCTCTGTTTTCGATGTAGCACACAACCTGACAGTGAACCCTGTCAGGTTGCTACACACCACTGTTCAACGATCTTCAGCGCAAGTCTCATTTGATCGCATGTAATGTTCTCAAAGGGACCGCTGTTGAGGATAGTGAGATCGGCTATATATTGTGAGGAATCTTCGATCATTGAGTTGTGTGTAGGTTCATGCACAACCGTGTTCCATAGAAGGGGGGAGAGTACACCGCCCTGGGGGCATCCTCTAGCCACCACTCCTCTAGTCACTTCGCTCACAGTAAATTGAATGGCTCTATATCTTAGCATGCTGTCGATACACCCTGAGATTGTGGCATCAACACCATGTCTAGACAGAGCTTGGCTAATGCTGGTGAAATTGGTTTTGTCAAAGCCCCCCCGATATCGCTAAAGGTGTTGACCTTTTGTGATTGTCTTCTTTGTCTTCTATATGTGATACAACTCGATGTAGGGCAGATTCTGTTGATTTACCCATCGAGTATGCGTGCTGATTGTGGTGTAAGGGGTGACTGACTAACGCAGTTTCCCTAATTTCCCTATCTATTAGCCTCTCGAGAACCTTTAACAGGAAGGACGTGAGACTGATAGGTCGATATGATTTGGGTTGTGTGTAGTCACCTTTACCAGGTTTGGGAATGAAGACTTGATGTGTATGTGTGCGTGCCTGCATATAAGTTTTGCTGTTGACTTGTGTCATGAGGAATAAACGAGCATCCAATCGCAACGGTAGTTTCACTAGTAGTACTGTAGCCGACACAGCACTGGCGACGAGGTACCCGCGTTTAAAAAAATAAAAAGTTACTTAGTTTCGTTAAAATGTCTAATATTATCGGTAATATTACAAGTTTTGATCATAACAATCAAGAATGGCCTATATTTAAAGGTCGGCTATTACAGTATATAAAATTAAATAGTGTGAAAACCGAAAATAGGAGCGCTTTGTTGCTGACTCATTTTTCGGACGACAGCTACCGCCTTGCACGGAACTTACTTCATCCTGAAGTACTCGAAGAAGTCAAGTTCGAGGAATTAATTGAAAAATTAGACAAGCATTTCACACCAAAACGTTGCACTTTTGCTGATAGACAGAAGTTTTATGACGCGAGGAGATCTGATGGCGAGAGCGTTGAGGAATGGGCGGTTCGCGTAAGAGGTTTAGCCGTTCATTGTGAGTTTGGTACGGCATTGGATATGCTACTGCGTGACCGTTTTATACTCGGGCTCGCAGCGTGTCGGGAATGTGACCGGTTATTCGAAGAGGATGCCGGCAAACTAACATTCGCCAAGGCGTTGGAGGTAGCTCAACAGGCAGCGTATGCGCGTTTGGCTCGAACCGGGACCACGGCGGCAGCCGACACTGCAGAAATCACCGCCCAGGCCACGCAGATCAAAGACGAGCTCGTGTTCCAGATGAGTGGACAGCGCGCACGCCGCGAGGCTGCCACAGGCCCCCGTAGCTCAAATGGCAGTTCCGGGGACATTCGTCGGTGCACGGTATGCGGTCTCAGAAACCACGATATGGAGAAATGTCGTTATAAAAACTATCGGTGCCAAGTGTGTGGTGTTAAAGGTCACTTAAAAAAAGTGTGTAGTGGAAAAAAGGTCGAATCTCGTTTAAATTGCTTAAATACGGAATTAATTCGCCGGGACAAAGTGACTGCGAGGAATGTGAAGTATTTAATCTAAGGTATGTTAGTAACTCACCAATAATTGTTAAGGTGTTAATTGATAATATACGATTAGACATGGAGTTGGATTCTGGCTCCGGGGCTAGTGTTATATCTGAAATACTTTTTAAGAAACATTTTTACAACCGTAGATTAAATAAATGCAGTTTAAAAATGTGCCTTTATAATGGCCATAAAATTTCACCTTTAGGATATTTCCTAGGTAAAATTACCTACCTAAATAATACTTATGATATAAAGATATTTGTATTGCCAAACGGAGGCCCTGCGTTACTAGGACGAGATTTTATGTCAATGTGTAAGATAAATTTTACTTCGAATTTAAATAGTATTGAAACGGTTTCTATAGCCAAGCCCGATATTAAGGATGTACAGCAGCTTATGTCTAGGTACTCTGATTTGTTTACTGAGGAGTTAGGTAGGTTTAATAAATTCAAGGTCAAACTAATTTTAAAAGAAGATACACAACCAAAATTTTTTAAACCTCGTTCGGTACCCTTCGCCTTGAAGAAAGTGGAGAAAAAAAAGAAGGAAGGAAGAAAAGAAAGAAGGTGGAGGATGAAATCAATAGGTTAGTAGGCTTAGGAATATTACAACCGATTAATTCTTCCAAATACGGTACCCCCATTGTCCCGGTACTGAAAGAAAACGGAAAGGTCAGGATAGCCGGTGATTTTTCAATTACATTAAATAAAGATTTAGAGATTGAAAAATACCCAACGCCTAGAATAGAAGAGGTTTTTGCTAAGTTAGGAGGTGGGCAGTGTTACAGTAAAATAGACCTCAGTAATGCCTATAATCAATTTGAGCTGGAGGAGTCATCACAAGAACTCACGACGATTTGTACTAGCAAGGGACTATTCAAATATACCCGACTCGTTTATGGTTTGGCAAACGCGCCCGCCATTTTTCAAAGAGCGATGGAGTCATTGTTAATAGGTATAGAAGGTGTGAGCATATGGTTAGACGATGTTTGTGTGACGGGACCGTCTAAAGAGTTACATTTCCATAGGTTAAATGAAGTATTAAGTAGGTTAAAGGACGCTGGCCTAAAATTACAAAGAGACAAATGTTGTTTTTTTCAGAATAATGTCACGTACTTAGGTTATATTATTGATAAGAATGGATTAAGAGCATGTCCAAAAAAAACAGAAGCTATCATAAACGCACCGCGGCCGACGACCGTCACAGAGGTTAAGCGGTTTTTAGGATTAATAAATTATTATCGTAATTTTATTCCGAACGCGTCTACAAAATTGCATCCGCTGCATGAGCTATTGCGTAAAGGGGCACAATGGCAATGGAGCGAGCGTCATGAAAAAGCCAGCGTAAAAATCGAACTGGCTTCAGAAAGAGTGCTTGCTCACTTCGATCCCACCGCGCAGTTAGTACTAACGGTTGATGCGGGGCCGACCGGGCTGGGAGCAGTGCTGTCACAGCGTGATCGCGAGAACCCGCACCTCGAAAGACCGCTGGCGTTCGCCTCAAGGTCACTGTCTACAAGCGAACGTAATTACAGTCAAATACAAAAAGAGGCTACGGCCATTATTTTTGCTGTTAAATATTTTCACCAATATTTGTATGGACGTAACGAGCCGTTTATCCTTAAGACTGACCACCGTCCTTTACTTTCGATTTTTGGTAAGAAGACGGGTATTTCGGTTATGACAGCTTCAAGGTTACAACGATATGCGATAATTTTATCTTCATATAATTACTCCGTCCAATACATAAAAGGTGAAAAGAACGTCGCGGCGGATTATTTATCTCGCTCACCTTTACTTGAGTCGGACTGTACTGCGGAGGACTTGTCTTTCCTAAATTTTTTAGATGCTAACGTCGCCCCGTTAACGTTTAGTGATATTAAAACAGAAACGTGTAAGGATATTACCTTACAAACAGTTATTAATTATATGAAAAACGGTTGGCTGCGTAAAATAACTTGTAAACTACTTTTGCCCTATTTTAATTGCAAAACCGATTTAGAAATTGAAAACGGTTGTATTTTTCGCGGTCACCGGGTGGTAATACCGGCGTTATATCGACACAGGTTATTGAAGGAACTGCATTCTGGTCATTTTGGCGTAATCAAAACAAAGAGTTCGGCTCGTAGTAGATTTTGGTGGCCGTCCATCGACAAGGATATAGAGGAGTGGGTGGGGTCGTGCCGCGTGTGTGCAGGCAGGTGAGCCGCTCCGGCGCGCGCCCCGCCTGCGCCCTGGCCGCGCGACTCGGCTCCGTGGCAACGCTTGCATATTGATTACATGAGTATAAACCAACGTGTTTATCTGATCGTCATAGACTCCTATAGTAAGTGGTTAGAGTGCTTACACATGGGCTGCGGCGTTTCTAGCAGGGAACTAATAGGTAAATTAAAGGAATTGTTTTCAAGATTCGGTATACCAAGTGTAATAGTTTCCGACAATGATGTTAAAATTAAGTCCAATGAATTTAAAAAAAATTGAGAAATGAATGGTATACGATATCTAACGTCACCTATTTATCATCCTTCCAGTAACGGACAGGCGGAAAATTCCGTTAAAACCTGCAAAAAGATGATTAAACCTATAATTAGTAATAACTGTCAACAAAATGTAATTAATGAAAAGCTTTTAGGATTTTTATTTGATTATAGAAATACCCCACATTGTACAACGGGCGAATGCCCCTCTAATCTTATGTTCGGTAGAAAAATAAAAACTATATTAGATCTGTTATTAGAGTATAGTTATAATGATAAAACCAGTCAAAATTACATTTTAAGCAGGAAAATTAATGTAGGCGATATTGTATGGTTAAAATGGTTTATTGCGAAAAAAGAGATATGGATTTTAGGCAAAATAAATAAAGTGGTAGGTAATCGTATGTTCGAGATATTTGTAATTGATTATAATGTTAATTGTAAAAGGCATATTGACCAGATAAGAAAGTACACAGGTTCTACCGTTACTGGAAGCGAAACGAACGGCGCCGGTGCACCCGCCGACTTGTCGGGTAGCCCACCTGCCTCACCGCGCGCCTCCCGCGCCTCCCCTGAGCGCCCCCCGAGGCAGCCGCGTCAAACTATGTCTTGTGACGAATCGCAACATTCGCAAGCTAGTGTACGAGAAGATAATAATGTCGGGAAGGAGGATGAGTGGGCAGAGGCTATAAGTGAAGGTGGTGCTAGCGATGGCTCATATGAGTCTAATGCTCTCGTATCACAGCCTCCGAGACCTATACGTAGTTGTAGACGTAAGATTAATTATAAGGAATAACTTGTAAACAGTTGGTATTAAGACATAAGGAAGTCATAGTTACTATTTGTCGTATACCACGCACCAAATTACATATGTTCTCTGGATTTACTTAGTAGGTTACTATTGCTTAAAATAACTTTATAAGAAGTTAATAAAGATTAATTCTTAAATAGGCAATAAAAAAAACTAGGTAATTATTGGTGCGTAGTGTACAAATTGGCCAATTGCCTATTATTGTTGTTTTTAATTATTTCAATGTTTTTTTATGTAATTTGAAATAGTGTTAGAGGAGTGATGTGTATGTGTGCGTGCCTGCAAATAAGTTTTGCTGTTAACTTGTGTCATGAGGAATAAACGAGCATCCAATCGCAACGGTAGTTTCACTAGTAGTATAGTAGCCGACACAGCAAGACTACTTTAACTTCTCTCCATTTCAGGGGGATGTAATGATGCGACATCCAGGGAAGTGTGTTTTCAATAACAGCTCTGAGGCTTCCGAGTCTTTTTTGGTATACTCACCATCAGGCTTCTTCAGTGAGCCAAGATTGTGTTCGCCTCTACTACACAGTATGCTTTTGACTCTATTAGCCTGGTTGTTGTTCTCTATGTTAGTACAGAAGTTTCTCCAGCACTCAGTTTTCCTGGTTCTGATTTTCTTCTTGTATTGTTGTCAGGCCTGCGAATAGGCATCCCAATGTTGCTCTAGTCGGGAGTTTTTTGCTCTATTGAACAGCTTTCTCACTTTACGACGTAGTATTTTCAGTTTCGGACCCCACCATTGGTGTTTGCTCTGTGGTCCGGTCCTGGGTGTAGAAAGTGGGCATGTTTGTTCAAAGCAATCGTTAAGTGTCTGTGTAAGGTTGACAACAAGACTGTCGATGTCCTTAACAGTCCCAGGAGCATATGTTGAGTCAATGTTCAAGATGTTCATACCGTTTCCGGTCCATCATGCGGGGATCGGGTAGTTTTAGATTAATTTCAAAGTTGAATTTGATCCAGCGATGGTCCGAGCACGATGCTTCGTTCGAAACATGCCAGTTCGATATGTGTTACGACGCGTGCTCACTCGCTAAAGTTAGGTCAATGATAGTTTGGGCCCTGGATGTGACAAATGTCGGCTCCGAGCCTATGTTAATAATGTTTAACTTAGTTGATAGTAGGAACGATACGAATTCCTCACCTCTCCGGTTGTTACTCCTGCTACCCCATAGCGCATGGTGCGCGTTGGTGTCGGCAGCGACGATCAGCTCCAAACCCTCGGGCTCGCAATGGTGTGCTAGCGCAACCAGCTCCGGAGTGGGGATGCCAGCGTCGCCCGGCAAGTAGGCTGATGCTATCACCACGTCAGGCAGGTCTGATGAGGGATTCTTTAACCAAATAGAGGTAAGGTCTCTGGAACAGAACTCGGTTATTAAGGTAGTACACGCGTGTTTTGGTGTATAAATACAAGTGCGCGGGTTATTAATATTGGTGTTGAGAAGTATCTTACCTCCAATATTGTTTAGACCGCAGATCCTGCCGTTCCTAATCCACGGCTCCTGGATTAGGGCTACGGTGTTGGTGTTTACCTCCAGTTCTCTGCGTTATTGAGCTGTTGCTGTCTGACTGTGCTGGAGGTTGGTTTGGATGGCTTTCAGGATGTTGTTAGGAGGTACTGACAGCGCCATCATCGCTGCTCAGCATATTCTCCAAGTCCTCGTCAGGGTCACCCTCGCCCACTGGTAGGTCCTCCAAATCCTCAGGTGGTGGACCCTGGTGGGCTGCCGTCCTTGGGGTGGTGTGGGGCCATTTCTGGCCTCTCGTCTGGGTTTGTTGGTGGGGCGGGACGTTCGTCAAGGAAGCGAACGTAGAGGTTACCCAGTTTGCAGCAAACTCTACGCTCGCTAGCCCTCTGTTTCAGAACGTCCTCCTCAGGGATAACGAGTACCAGGAAGAGGCATTTCTTTTCCTCCTGTGCCTCGGCATAGTAGAGGGCCCAGTTGGCGACATTGTACTGGCTGTTTTGATACCACAGCCTTATTTGTGGTACATCTGGTCCGATTTGTGGCACCAGGAGTCCAGCCTTGATCCTTTTCGGAATCTCGGACTGCCTCATTTGCCTTTAGTACGTCGGAGTAGCTTGTGGAGCTGGTTTTTTGTAGCGGTTTGATCCGCTTGCTACTTACCTGGGGAGTGCGGGACTCATCCGAGCGAGTTCGTTTAGCGGATCCAGCTTCACATGAAGGTTTCCCTCCATGTTTCACTCGTCCCGCTCGTCCGCCCTGTCCCGGAGAACCCTGCCTTGAGTGTACTTTGGCCGCTTCGGGCGCCCTAGCAGGTGGCGCCCCCACAGGAGTACATTTCCCCATGGCTAGACTTTCGTCTTCGCCTCGGGTCAGCACGTCACTAGCGGGGGCATCGTGGGCCCCTTCGGGCCCTTCAGCGACTTCAAGCCGCTTACTTCCACCCGAAGTCAGACTCCGTGCTTGCCTTTCCACTCGGGCTTTCGCCCTGTTGGCATTGTGGGTTAGGTCTTTTCGGCACACTCTTCTTCGTCCTTACCAGGCTCCAGCCGGTTTCTTCCAGGCCGGGTCCCGCAGGCACGGGCATTGCTGCCCTCAAAGATGAGAGGTCGATGGTCGACACTGGCGCCGTACTCTGGTTATGTACCAGAGGTGTCGCAAGAGTCGTAGATGGCGCTGCGATCGGGTTGTTCACCTGAGGCTTGGTTGGTTTTTTTGAAGAGTGTTTGGTCTCCATAGGTTTTTTATTTTTATTCATCTTCTTGTCCTTCCACCGTCCTTGGAGCCCTCAAGTGGGGACGTCGCGGCCGAAGGCACACAACGCCAGAAGTAACAAGGAGATATAGAGCCCGACCCCTGGCAGAAAGCAGGCCGAACTAGGTAGGAAGACTTCGTCCCACCCGTCGTCCACCCCCACCAAAGAAGAGCTCTCGCCCAGCAACACTCTGACGGGATACTACAGCCGACCAAAGGTGGCTAGCCTTCAGCCTCCCGTGTAAGGAGAAATCCTGGCCGAAGCAGTGTGTTGCCTTTCGGCTCAACTACCTACCTACTAAAATAGGAAAGGAAAGGTTTTATGGGATGGAATTGCGTCTGGGTGTTTCTGTTATATCTGTTTCGTAGGGAATCAGACCTAAAACAGGCGGCAACCACGAGAAGGATGACACTCGGACTTGCCATGGGGATTTGCACGACTGTTGCGCTCTCCCCCATGACTCCTCCGGACAGGGCATACCAGAATTGGATCTGCTCCAGGCGATCTTGGCCTATTGGAGCACACCAAACCCCGCCCCATTACAAACCTAAAAGTAACTTCTGCCTCTGGTAACGATAACATAAGTAATAGAATATTAAAAAGCTGTGCTCAGGTATTAGTTCAACCAATCACATTTTTATTTAACTTAAGCCTTTCAACAATTACTGTACCTACCTGCCTCAAAATTGCAAACGTATGTCCTATTTATAAAAATGGTGACCCAAAGGAAAGCTTTAGCGTGATTCAAATCTGATTTAAATGACAGGAGACGAAAAGTAGTCGTTGGAGACTACTGTAGTGAACTAAAACCCGTTAACTTTGGAGTCCCAAAGGGCTTGTCCCCAAGTGTCCTTGGCTCGACGCTGTTTATTGTATACATAGATAGCCTATGTGCCCTGGAGCTAGGCCAAGCAAAAATAGTTACCTATGCAGATGACACTGCGGTATTATTCTTTGGCAAAACTTGGAGTGATACCCAGGTCAACGTGGAACTGGGCATGCAAACCGTTGCCAACTGGCTCCGACAGAATCTCCTGACTCTTAATATAGGAAAAGCCAAAGCTGTAAATTTTTAAATCAATGCGATCTTCTACCAAACTCGCGATGAAGACTGCACTCATGCTTGGCATCAAAAACCTGTCAGTCCCCTCTAATAGAACAAATTAACGCCATTCACCTAGGGATCCACTTAGATAGCCAGCTTGCATGAACTACTCATCTCACTGCACTCCACACCAGAATTAGAATGCCTTAAAATGGTCTATTTCTCTCTCTGCCAATCGATTCTAAGCTATTGCATTACTGCGTGGGGAGCTGTCGTTCAAACCCATATGATGAAAGTAGAAAGAGCACAGCGTGCACTCCTTAAAACTGCATACGGCCGACCATACAGATACCCTACTAACTCAGTTTATTCAGAGCTGGGATTGCTCAGAGTTCGACAATTATATATAATCTCCCTCACTGCGCTTCCACAAAACTGCTCAGAGCAATGCTACACTTAGCCATTCAGGACGTAGGTTGGTATGGAATACTGTAAGATGTCGCAGATCGATTTGAAGGAGAGTGTACAATTTCATGGGGCCCTACACATACAGATAACTAAATAACGCCAAACTGGATATCATCGGACTAACAAAACACTGCTATAAAAAAAAGGTCAGCAAATGACTGAAAAGCATATCATAACAGGCATAAGATAGTAAACCACCTTACACACACACACACACACACACACACACACACACAAGCACACACAGACACGTATACATCTCCCGGGGCTGAGGAAAAATTAAAAACTTAAACAAAAATGAAATATTTGAAAGCGGGCATGATGCCCAGCAAGCAGAGCTAGAAGCTAGTGCTGAGATGAAGAGGACGGAAGCGTTAAAACGTCTCAAAAAATTCATCATCGAGCTGCAAAAGTGAGTTCAATCGAAGATGAACATCCACAAGGAGATTAAGACCAAGGCAACGGGGTAATTACCGCCCCGAGAAGGTTTAAAACCCTAGATGAGGAGTGCCGTGCAAAACAGAATACGAGCACGCCAGCGCCGTTGTGTGGTCAAACGACTACGGAAACAGAGGCTGAGATGGACACTGTAGCCGAGACTGAGATGGACACTGGAGACTACACAGACAATGAGTCAGTGGTCGAGACGTGGTGGGTCAATTGTCGAATAAGAGCACCGAAAAGACCCACCCACTGCTACAAATGTTGGCACTTTGGCCATATCGCTACCAAATGTAAAAGCAAAGAAGACCGGTTTCAACTCTGTATTAAATGCCTTAGGCATTAAGTTCGCTGACGTACTGGGTTTACCAATAGGGATGACCTGGTTTTGACAGCTCATAGCGGCCAGGTTTGATGATGGATCTTTGACGTCTCTTGACATTTGTGTTCAGTAAGGTTTGCCATTTTATCATGTCACGTTTCACTTTAAACCAACGCTTGGAAATTGACCAAAATTATTACGCAAATTCGCGTTCTCCTATCGCTACAGTAAGAGCGCTTCGCGCAAAAAACGGTCATCATAGTGCTCCTTCTGTGCGCGCTATAAATCCCATAATAACAAAATTTGCAAGTGAATTTACTCTCCACGATACTGCTGTGCCTGTGAGACAAAAAAATGCCCGTAGGCAAGAGAATATCGCAGCCGTTCAGGCCAGTGTTGATGCGAATTCAAATCAATCAGTTCAACGCCGTTCACAAGAGTTGGGGCTCTCTCCAATGACCACCTTATTTTGCGGTTGGATTTGGGCCTACACCCATACAAAATTGTTTTGGCACAAGAATTGAAGCCATCCGACCATTGTATCCGTCGTGAATTTGCCGATTATGCACTGGAAATGATGGAAGCCGATGACGATTTTCATCCTAAAAACATCTTCCATTAGGCGCATTTCTGGCTCAATGGATTTGTTAATAAACAAAATTGTCGCTATTAGAGTGAGTCAAATCCACGTGTGGTTCATGAATCACCATTGCATCCGCAAAAAATAACAGTTTGGTGCGGTTTATGGTACGGTGGAATCATTGGTCCGTACTTCTTTGAAAGTGACGAAGGAAACCCTGTTACTGTGAATGGCGAGCGCTATAACTCGATGTTAACCGAATATTTCTTTCGGAGTTTGATGATATTGATGCAGACGACCTTTATTTTCAACAAGACGGTGCCCCACCTCACATTACTCGAGTGAACATGGAATTATTGCGTGGAAAGTTTGGTGAGTCGTTAATTTCGAGAAATGGACCGATTAGTTGGCCACCAAGATCGTGTGATTGAACACCTTTAGACTATTTTCTTTGGGGTTACGTTAAATCTAAAGTGTACAGAAATAACCCAGCTACAATTCTTGACATACAATACCGGCCGAAATGGTGCACCGCGTCATCAAAAATTGGCGTGAGCGGGTGACCGTCTGCAAAAAGAGCCGCGGCGGTCATTTGGCCGATATATTATTTAAAACATAAATTGCATAAAATTATCTATCAAATAAATCAATCGGATGCATTTTTCATAAAAAATTGTGTGTTTTATTCAATTTTTAAATCAGAACGTTCTTATTGGTAGACCCCATACATATTTGTTTTGTTTTCTTTTTTCTTTTTTTATAAGACAACTCCCGCACTAGGAAGAAATCCTGTGTCGCGGGGGACTTTACAAACATACATGAAACGGACACAAAGTACACCCAGACTCAGAGCAACAATTTGTGGATCACACAAAGTTTTGTTCCATGTGGGGTTTGAACCCACAACACTCGGCGTAATAGGAAGCGGCGTGGCGACTGCTTAAACCACTACGCCATCCGTGCAGTTATTATCGAAATTTGTGCATGAAGTAATAAATAAAATAAAAATAAATAAATAAATGCGGACAAGGAGGCCCCAAATTGCTGAATGTAGGAACGCAGCTAAATGTACTTTATGTGCTGTACAACACGGATATTACCGACCACGCTGGTACTAGTAGATGCGCAGTTTTCAAAGAGGCACTCCTGAAGTTAAAGAACAGACGGATATAAAGATACTCCAGCTAAACCTCAATCACTGTGAGGTTGCGCATGATTTGCTTATGCAGACCGTGCCCGAACTAGAACTTGACCTAGTACTAATAGCAGAGCCATACAGACACCTAAGTATACAATCAATGAAAACAGACAGCACCAACAAAGCTGTCATTTGGTCTTGCGACAAACTTCCTTACCAGGGAGTAATTAACAACATTTAAAGACCCTTTTAGTTAATAAGTGTTATTATAAGTTGAATGACTATCTGAACGATGATCTTTCCAATCCTGAGACCTTTTGTGTGTCTTTTGAATGTAATTAATTTGTTAATACATAATAATTCAGTGAGTGACATAGAACTAATCTAATTATTATTAAATAAATAACTAATATTTATCATTGTAATTTTAATAAGGACATTACATTTATTTTTAATACTTAAATGCTGTAATCTAATTTGATTTAAATACTTCGATGTCGATTTTAATTTTAGTAAGTAATAATTGTATATATTTTGCATGCCTTAAGGTAGAATCACTTGAAACATAACTATGTATTTATAAAACCATTGTAACAGTGTTTTCTGCAAAAATAAATTTGATTTGATTTGATTTGATTTGAATAGTGAAACCGGTTTTGTAGCGGTATGGATAGATGGCATTCGTTTCTATAGCTGCCATGCGCCACCTAGCCTTACTATTGATGAATTTACTAATTTCCTGGACCGGCTGACCGAGGATGCGAAGCAGAATTATTCAGTGGCGATAGCCGGTGATTTCAACGCCTGGGCAGTGGACTGGGGCAGCAAGCAGGCACTAATGCACGGGGAACAGCACTACTTTAAGCCATAACTACACTAGATGTAGTCTTGCTCAACAGCGGTGATACACCAACGTTCACCAGACGAGAGGCTAGCTCAATCGTGGATCTCACATTGGTCAGCAGCAACGCGGCAAGCTGGTTCATGCCGCGTTGCTCCATGTCCATCGATTTATTGGTGGAACGATCAAATCAGTTTCCTTCGTAAATATCTCAGCTACCGACTACCAAACTCTGCAGAACTGGTGGCAGAGTACAAAATGACACGTCGGAAACTGAACAAGGCTATCAAGGATAGTAAGAGAAAATGCTGGGAGGAGCTTATCAACGAGGTGGAGAAGGACCCGTGGGGCAAGCCGTATATGCCGTCATGACCCATCTAAAAAACAAGCCAATGCCGTCACCCACATGCCCACAGCTTTTACAGACGATCGTCACCGCGCTGTTTCCCCAACAACGAGAATTCAACTACCCGCCAGTACAGTGTGAAGTGGAAGAGATCCCGCCCATTACGAACTGATGGAGGCGTGTAATCGAGTGGGGAATAATAAAGCTCCGGGGTTGGTTGGAATCCCAAACATTGCTCTGAAAGCAGCTATCAAAGCGGCACCAGTATTGTTCCTGGAAGTCTACAATGCATGCCTCAAAGAGAGGACTTTTCCTCGGAAGCGGGAATGCTACCAAGCATGGGCAAATGCAGCGACGGCAGGCGATGTAAATACCAGCACGCTAAAAAAACAATATAACTTTGCCTCCAGGTCCCTTTTACGGTAATATCTTTGCGTAAACTTATGAGGTCACACTGCGCCGTTGCTGAAGATCACATCCTCTACCTACAAGGTTTACGTAGTGAGCTGCTATTTTCAATATTCACATCCTCTTGATCCTCACTTACATCACTTACATGAAATTGACATGAAATTATCATTGGCGCTAATGTCAATGCGTCATCTTCATTATGGTATGGCAAGTTACATTCAACCGACACGGTTCGACGCTGTGCGGTTGAAGATTTCATTGCGGAAATGAATATTACTATTCACAAAAAGTTGGTGGTCACCAACTTTTTGCAACCCAATGCGTGAGTATTCTATTGACGTGATGCTTACGCGCGACGACGTCTCGATATTCGGATGGCGTGTCCTCCCGGACGCATCCTGTAGTAATCACCGCTTGATCGTGTACGAATTCATACCAAGGGTTGCACAGGATCTACAAAGGGCTTCCTATAATATTAGATATGAAACTAAAGGTGCGAACTGGGCTTTGTTTGGTTCACTCTTTGCAACTCATACCAAAGACTTCAGTCGCAGTAGTTTATCAGATAAGGAAAGTGCCGAAATACTATCAGAAACTTTCACATAATAGCGTAAGTCGCGAATCCATCACTAACACTCGTAGGTGTGATTGGTGGAATGAGAAATTAGCCGAACTACGTAGAAGCTACCGGAAAGCTCGTAGAAAATTAAACACTAATAAAAACCATAACGTAACAGGAGATTTGTACAATAATGCTCTCCTTGCTCTTATAGTTGCCAGGTCCCACTACAGAGCTGCTGTGGAAAAATCTAAGGAAAACTTAATTCAGAAACTTGTTGATAAACTCGATAGAGAGGGCCCGTGGTCATATTTGAATCACGAATTTAAGGCAAATAGATCAATCGACCTTGGAAACGTACAGAACATCAAAATTAATAACAGATATATACCAAAGACTTCAGTCGCAGGAACAGCGTGCACGCTTTGGAGACTGGATATTTATAGATTAACGTTGTTGGATATTGTGTATATCGTAGTGTATTTTTATTGTGATCTGCATATCTGTAATTTGTCTTGTTATATGTTATATATTATTGTTATATGTTATTAATGTTGTGATGTATGTATACAATGTGTACTACATGTGTTATGTGTACTACATGCAACAGGGTATCGCATAGCATCATTTTGGGCCCAATTGAAAACCAGCGTCAGGCTTCCATCTGACATAAGGCTGAATTGGGTCCGTTTTTGGCATCGTTGGTAATCCAAGTTGCAATTGTTCAAAATGTATTATTGCCAAAATAAACGATTTTTCTTTCTTTTTTCTTCTATATACCACAGGAATGGAACAAACAGCAGAATATCTTTTAGAATCACTCGTACCTGACGATCGGCCGGAAAAAGACAATGATCATTACCGACAGATCAGGCAGTGGGTAATCGAGCCACCACTGTCTTCAATGTCTGATTTACCATCTTCAGACGAATTTCTCAGTATCATTAGATCCTTGCCGGTAAACAAAGCTTCGAGCGATGATAAAATATCTAACAAAATGATAAAAGAAGCTTGTAAACTTTCGGGTAACACGATTTTCACTGTCTTTAAAGGTTGCATTGCGGAAGGAATATTTCCTCGTATATGGCGGTGCGGTAATATTCGTATAATATCAAAAAGTGGCGACAGTGGCGATCTTAAATCCTACTGACCAATCACATTATTACCATCGTTAAGAAAGCTTTTAGAACGCCTTGTAGTGCCCCGGCTTCTGCCAGGTGGAGTGAAATTTCATAATAGACAATTTGGATTTACGTTGGGTAAATCGACAACTGACGCTGTTATATCGGTTAGAAAGTTTGTCACAGAGTCAAAATTTCAATACGTGCTGGCTATTTTCTTAGATATTTCTGGCGCCTTCGACAACGCATGGTGGCCCATGCTGTTGCTGATATTAAAATCACGGGGGTGCTTTAAAAATATTTATTCCCTTATCTCTTCGTACTTTTCACAAGGTTCAACTAAACTAGGACTTGGTCAGCATTCTGTGTCGAAGGCGCTTACAATGGGATGTCCTCAGGGATCGGTGCTAGGTCCATACTTGTGGAATATCGGCTTCGATACGGAGCTACTTATTTCGATTCTATGTGCTATGGTGCACCTGTATGGGCCGATAGGGCGACCGTAGGCGCTGTCCGTCGCAAACTGTTACAAGGCCAACGACTTGCACTGATATTCTTGTGCAAGGCATATAGGACGGTTAGCACTAAGGCTTTGCCGGTGTTGGCGGGTGTGCTTCCGGTCGAACTCGAGGCGCAGAGACGTGCAGCCATGTACTATTCAAGACAACAAAACATGGAATGCGATTTTTTGGGCGCGCGGGATCGCGGTAAAATTACAAGATTGCTTCAACAGCAGTCCGATGTCTATAATGACCTCATAGACGAATGGCAACAACGCTGGGATGAATCATCCAAGGGGCGCCATCTTTACCAATTCCTTCCATCTGTTCGCGAACGGTTGTCAAGGACATGGCTTGAGATGGATCACTGTGTCGCTCAATTTCTTACGGGTCATGGTGTAACAGTTATTTATCCATTATATTTGTATTGCGTACGGAGTTGTAAACAGTGACACCTGTCGCCCCGCGTCGCATTTATTGATTTATCCGAAGTAGATTGTAACTATAGTATTGATGTCTCTTCGTCCGCCATCGGACCACTAGATGGCGTGGTTTTTTTTGGTAAGTCGTAGTAATAATTTATCCTGTCAAATTGTATTGGTGTTAAAAGTGTCCTGTTATGGTAGGAAGTGGGTTACTGTTGAATTGAGTCGTGTTAACCTCAATGATAATTTGAATTCGATTGGGCTCCCATTCATGACTAAATAAAGAAGGGATTCTTTCTAGAAATTTCATGAACCGAGCATATATAAGTCCGGCTTCCAGCCGCAAGGGACACTCTGGTGATTCTAGTCTTCCGATCTGAAGTAGCATTTTGATTATCTGTTTATTCATTTTTAGTAAATTATGTGTCCTAAGTACCCACTTCAGTGGTAAGTTAATCTTATTTTTCTTGTAGTCATTTGTTTTTGCAATCTGAACGATTATATGAGTGTTAATCCATTCGTAGGGCTCCAGATTTCGGGTCAAGAGATACTTCTCAGACGGCGTGCTCTTTTGTTTGTGGCCTTCTTGTGCGTAAATGAGCTCCTAAGTTTCATCTGATTACTGGCAGTCACGCGGCTCACAAGCAAGCGGTCAGCCTCATTCAAGAGTTACGTAATTTTTGTTAATGTAACTAATATAAATACCTAACCTTCCTATTTACCTAATATAAATAGCCGACTCGGGCTGGTGTGGAAATAACCTGCAGGATTGCTGACGAAGAAGCTCCTAGCAACATCAGCTCGGCCTTGACGCGCGCCGCTGCTGGATCTTTTTTTATATACCCACTATTAATATTTATTCAATTTTAACTCTGTATTTGGAATGAAATATACATGAATGTATGACTGAGGTGAAAGTTGTGTTTCTCTGAAGAGTCCCTTAGGTTGCCCACACGCACACATATCCATACAATTCTGTTGTCGACAAGGCGCCCTGAGGTAATCTCGTGTATATCTCCGCTGGGTAAGCCGGTGAGTAGACCGCCTGACACGTTCAGCGCTTACAATGGTAACTTTAAGAGCAAGCTTTATTCATTTAAATTAGTCGAGTCACCATTGTGTCAATGCTGAACACCTAAATCTCACTATGAACAGTCTGCTCATCATATCCTCTGGGAATGTAGTCTTTGGTATAATGAATGAACTATGGGGATCTTGTGTCAACTAGGGTGAATTTCCGTGCGTTTAGGCGATTCTGCCAAACATATTATAGAAATCAAATATAGCTCACGTAGGACCCGTAATATTTTGTGGCCGTGGTGCTTCCTTGTTTAAAAGGGTGTATGCCCATTTTACTTCATTTTGTCTCCCGCTTTGCTAAGGAGGGAAGTGGATTTACTGTATTTCCAACTCCTCCAATTTTCTTCTGACTGATTTCGTTGCGGGTTCCAAGACTGTTTAATTTCTTCCTGGGACTTCCCGAGTGTCAAAACTCGGTGTGTTCGTGGGTCACTGCTGTGGATCCTGGTGTACAGGAGTTGCAGTGGTGGACGTGTGGGTGGGATTAGTCCCAGTCTAAAAAAATCCTAATATTTCGATGCCCGAAATTTTGTCCGGAAGAACCAGCTTTTTGGTTTGCGCAGTTAGAAGGGCAGTTAGTGATGCGACAAAATTTTATTTCGTCACTTTACAATTAAAGCCTACCTATGCCCTTCAGGTCAAGGATATTATTACCTACCCTCCAGAAACTAATAAATTCGAGAAACTAAAGGACGAATTAATTAAACGCCTGTCTGCATCACAGGAAAAGCGGATACAACAGTTGTTGATACATGAAGAGCTAGGCTATCGTAAACCATCGCAGTTCTTGCGGCATCTGCAAAACCTAGCGGGGCCTTCCGGAGCCTCCGATTTTGTGAAGATAAACCGGTTACCGAAAAATATTCAAACAGTAATCGCTTCCCAAATCTCCGATTTAAGCGCCATCAATGACGACTTAATCAAGCAAGTCAGTGAATTAAGTAAGCACGTTGCCTGACTTACTACCAGGTTAACCAACAGAGATGTAAACCGTTCACGTCCACGCTCACGCTCACAGTCTCGCAAGAAGAGGTATGGTTCTTTTAATAAACATAGACAACAGCAACCGCCACTGA